CTCCGCCTCCGCCTCCGCCTCCGCCTCCTCGCTCCGCTCCGCTTCCACCTCCACCTCCCGCCTCCAGCCTCCAGCCTCCGACCGGCGCCTCCGTCTCCACCCTCCGCCTCCGCCCGCTCCGCTCCGCCCGCCTCGCCTCCATCGCCTCCGCCTTCCGCCTCCGCCTCGGCCTCCGAAACTCCGCTCTGCCTCGCCTCTGCGGAGGCGGCGGCGGAGACGGAACGCGGGCGGTGCCGCGGGGCAGAGAGCGTTTCGCTGCTCACCTGCGGAGATGTGCACGCCGCCGGCCACCACGATGCCCGCCAGCGCCAGCAGCTTCGCCGCCGTGAACACGCTCTGCACGCGCATCGCCCAGCGCACGCTCAGGCAGTTCACTGCCGTCAGCAGGCCTGCAACAGGCGAGGCCCGCACCGCTTCAGCACGACGGCTCTTCGGAGGGAACACGTGCGGTAGTGGGCCTGCTCTTTCGAGGGAACAATGCATCAGCAGGCCTGCTCATTAGAGGAAATAAGTGCGTTAGAAAGCATTGGACGAAATAAGGATATAGCAAGCTTGCTCATTGGAGGAAATAAGGACGTTAGCAGGCCTGCTCAATGGAGTAATAACGAAGGATCATGCATACTCATTAAAATAATTAATTCGTTAGATGGCCGCAACACGCTGTAAAATGCGGCTTGTCAAGTACTAAGGGCTGCTAGGAAAGGGATGCACGTTTGCTAATCGGGAATAAAAGAGGAAATTCGGATTTAAAGATATTAAGGCCTGCTTATAAAAGAACAAAGCACAAGTTTGTATTCTTATGGTAAGTCAACAGGTCAGCAAAACGCAATGAAAAACAGTATGTTAGCAGAGCTACAAGAGATGAAGATTCGTATAACATCAGCAGACCTGTAACAAGCAAGTGCTGAAAAATGTTACTAGTTTGTTGGAACCATTCCAAAGAGATACATAATGCTCGCACGCCTGCATAGTAAGAAATAACAAAACAACAAACAAATCTTATATGGATAAAGTTCAGAAAACTACAGCAGGCTTGCAAAGGGCAAAGGGTTCGGGGAAAATACGCGCCTCAGGCAAAAAAATGTGAAAGCAATGAAGAATGTGACGGGCAGAGGTAACTAACAAAGAAATTCAAACGTTTTAGGAATTTAGGTGCAGATAGAAATATCTCAGATGCAATGTTGCAAAAGTAAAGATATTTGTTAATATTCTCGCATGAACACGTCTTTTATACAAGAAAAACGAAGGATATTCTCAAGAGGACTTTCCGTCTCTAATACTATTAAATATTTCTCTGCGAAATATCACCGCGACTCAAAAGAAACCTTTAAATGATTTCGTCCAAGGGTCCAAGTGTCTCTTCCTTATGAGGTTTAATCATGAATTTCCTATCCATTTCGATAAGAGGAACTTCATATTACTACAAATTTTTAAAAATTGCAGACGACAAATTACTCTGTATTGTAAATATAAATAGTTAAAATTTTAACCAAACACAAAATAAACTAGTGGTGTAATAACAGCACGTACTTTTTCGCCCGTACTTTCAGGCAAAAGTAAGAGAAAAGGTTTCGACAAATTGTACAGGACATTATTTCAAAATCTATCTTTAAGGAACATATTCCATTAAGGAAAAAATCTCCATTTTCATAGTTGTAGTTGTAGGAAGACGCTGAAAAAATTTCTAACTTTTGCATTTTTCAAGAAATTAGAGCTTTTAACGAAAATGAGACCATCACCAACCTCTTAAACGTCCGTAACACCATCCAACTACACAATTTAATTTTTTTAAATGTGGATGCATTTGAAGTTTTGCAAATGTTCCAGAGGCTTCATGTACAGAACCACCCTCTCCCAACTTAAAAATTTCAGTTTGAAAATACAGGGGCCGTGACATCAGCCAGATCGATTGAGGAATATCAATTTTGGAGAAAACCAGCTGAACGGTTTAACAGCTAGCGTTGTTCACACACGGTGGGATAGATAGACATTATTTATTAGGCTGTCCGGGTGACGCCGCGTCCATGGCGAAGATGCCGACGTTTCGGTCGCCATTCTGCGACCTTAAGGCGTAATGTCATTAGGAATGCCTGATGGAAGTCGCAGAAATGGCGACCCGAACGTCGGCACCTTCGCCATTGGACAGCGGTCAACCCGGACAAGCCTAATAAAACTGACTCCCGGCCCGGCGAAAGCCTAACGCTCTCGGAATAGAACAAACGTTTTTTTTCGGTATCAAGGACCCACAAAACATGGATTCTGACTACAAGTGTTAGAGGATTTTGTTGTTAAATTTAGCAAGTATAATTACGAACATTTTAGTTACTAAGAGTTTTTCTGCTGAAAATTCTCCTTTTCTTTACATTACATCGCTGTATTAACTGCGAAAGTGGTAGCGAGAAAATAAAAGTAAGCAAGATAACACGTGTTGATAATAGCAAAAGCAGACAGTAAGTAAGGGGAGAAAACGCAGGATTGTGAAAAAGAGAGTATCAACCAAAGAGTTTACTTTCTACATCGACCAAACCAGTCGTGTAGAGTGGAATTCTTTTAATTCACAAACAAGGGGAACTTATATTTTATGATAAAATCTATTTCCTTCTTATTAAAGGTTGTCTCAGGAAGTAAAATTTTTATTAAATGTTTTTCTAGAGATATTTATGTCTTAAAAAATTCACGTCCTTAGAACACGATGCTAAATATCCTTTTTGGAAAAAATGATGTATTGAGATTTACAAACTCTCTACAGTCAGATTTACAAGATAATAAAACACATTTTAATTCGAGCATATAGAAAACATTCTATCAACAAAATTAAACAGTATTTTATGCACCATTATTCACTCCTTCAATCTCTGAAAATGCTCTCTCGAAAAACTTCCTTTGACAGTTGATAAATTCGTAATAAAATTGTAAAAAATAGTTGGAAATGTAATTTATATAATGTACTTATTTTATTTTATTTATACTAATGTTTAGAATAAATAAGGGGAAGAATCCAAGTATAGAAAATTCGCAAATATAAATTAAATGAATGTTTCCGCTACTACGTAGAAATACTACGGTGTCAGGTTAGATCATTGAATAACTTTGTAATGTTCCTACGGTACAGTTCGCCGACCTTTGTGTTCACAAGGCAGCAGTTAGCGAAGTTGCGAAAGGATTTAATAAGTCCAGTACAAGCAAAAGAATGGGGCACTAATTTGAAACGCAACAAGAAACGGAACATTTAAAACATATCTGTAAAAATTGTACAATAGTTAAACTCAAGTAATTATGTTATATCTTCTTGGTTTTATATAAGAAACTTGTTTATATTTATTAATGTAAACAAATAAGTAAAATATATTGAGATACATTTGTTTACATGACACTATTGTAATTGTTTCCTAAAAGACTATTAAGCTTGCAAACGGAAAAAATGAATAAACAGCGATAACTTATTTTGTAATTCTTCTTAAAAATTCTCCCAAATTATCATATATTATTTTCATGCTATTGCTAGTAAACTCTAGCTTAAACCACAATTGTTGAAGAACTAATTTTAATGTATTACTAGTATACAAGCGTACCCGTGCAAGAACTCTTGCATGTTAATCCCCACCCTTTCCCTATCCTTTCCATTACGAAGGAAAATTGGTGATGAAACGTGTTTATTTATTAAAAAATGTATAAATGTAACTTCATACTTACACAATATCAAACAAGAATAAAAACAATGCAATGGACGTTGAATGTCCAAGAATATTCCATACCGTAAATTAAAATGTGAAGAACGTTTCTTCGAGGTCTTTAGTCTCAAAATGTTAGTTTTTAAGGCCTTAAAACGCTTTGTTCAGGAGTTATTTAATGATATACCTGGATGAGTGCTGCGGGTTGTATTTGATATGAATATTTAGATGAGTTTTTTAAACAAACCCTTCATATTTTATAAGTCTTAGTGCAATTCGTCACGACTCCGCGAAATTCTCTTTCTCTAGAGACATTTTTATAAAGATCGGTTGCTTGTGAGAGCAGCAAAAAGTATGTATACTACTGAAATAATATAGAAGAAGATTTGTCAATGTAAATATCAAAATACGAGGCTAGATTGTCTTACTTGCAAGTAATATAGGTTCGTAGAAATAATGCAGGTTTCAATAGACTTGAAGAAAGCTTACTTGTCAGAATATATTTATTTGTAGAGATGATTGAGTCCGATTTGTTGTTCAGTTAAAAATGTTCCCTATATTTCAATTCAATATTCAGGCAATTATGCCAACATTCATAACAATCACTGATAACTCTAATTGAATACATATGGTACACATCATTGTTAAGTACATTTGGACAAGCTAAGAAACAATATATTACTCAAGGAATACATGAAGATTTTGTTAAAAAAACGCATAAAAACAACAGTTCTATATTTCTCTCCAAATAAACAGAAGAAATACTTTATCGCAAAGCTAAAACGCAAAGTAAGATACTAGTCACAAAACCCGAGACTCAATCTAGCGTTCTTTGAATAAAAGACAATGGAAAAAATAATCTCTTCCGCAAACGGCGTAGAGACAGAGGAGAAGGTCTTTAAGTTGCGAAGTGGGGCAAGTGGGTCTGGGCTGGAGAGTGGAGAAACTCGATTCTTGTGCGAGTGCGAACAGCGAAGGGGAAATTTGAAGAAACTGAACCGTTGTGCCATGAGAAAAACTGTTCTAATGGTTGAAATTATGGAAACTTTGGTTTCTTCGGTCCTCGATACCGAAAAATTGATAGAAGGAAAACGTTTTTGTATCTGTCCATCCGTCTGTCTGTGTGTCGTCGAAGCTAGGGCCTAATCCGGGTAGCCGCTCAAAATTGATTTGCTTTTTCGATCTGAACGAACTCGACGGACTGCCAGGTTGAACGAGTATTGGGTATGGTATGTTATGGTGTAGGTCACAGGAGATTTTAATTACTGTTTAAAAATCTCAAAAAATATTGTGTGTACAAATCTGACACAAAACTTTAGGGCCGCGTGCATACATTTGATACTCAGTTCTTTTGAAAACTGATGGATGAATAAGTTTCCCTGACCTCCTTGATCATAGTGCAGGTTTAGTTTCAAACATATTTCACAGGTAGCGTGCCATTGGTGTTTTATATACTATATGTATTAATTATTATTATTATCATTATTATTATTATTATTATTATTATATGTATATGTATATAATAGTTATGTACATCCGCTCAGGCCTGGCACAAGAATTTGTCACATTAAGTCTGGCAGTGAAAGTGTGAAACATCTATTTTTTATATATGATAGAACGAAGAAAGTTTAAAGAAAGGGGCAAATCTCCTTTTCAATAAATTCTAAGAATATTCCGTAAATTGCAAAACTTCGAAATAATGAGAGAAGGTTTGTGCTGTTGTAGCACCACTAGTTAAAGCTAAAATTTTCTAGGATGGCCTCTGGTATTCGTGAGTATAGGTGGAAGCTCAAAGCTGTGGGGAGAGAGCCA